CCGGCGCGTGCGTCCATGGGTGCGGGTCGCCGGCGCTGGCGCACGCGGGGCTTTGGAGGGGGAGAAGAAGAGCGCGCAGCGCGAGCATCGAGTGTGCCGCGTGCGGAAGCGGGCGCCGCAAATACACCGCGCGAGGTACCGCTTCCACGCGCGCGCCCAACTGCTTATACCGCGCGCGTGGCTATTGCGCGCCCACTGAAGCCATCCGCCAGGTTGCGCGCGCGCTAAAACGGGCGATTTTACGGCGCGACGCCTGTTTAACACACCTGTTGGAGATGCTCTTAGAAAGTGTGCTTCTAGCCAACCTAGGAGACGCATGCATTGGTGCATGAAGAATGCACTCAACATTAGAGAGGTAGTAGACGTCCCTAGGGCCCCTCCTCACCTACTAACCGTTGTGGCTTTGCAACGGCATGCGTAAAGACGTTCAACCCAGCTTGCTGGAGCTCCGGGATGCCTTCCACTGCCTCGACGCTGGATAGGTTCTCCATATTTAAAACTTGGAAAACGTCGTAGTGACCCAAACTGCCAGCGTCCATGTCCAGGCTGTTGGATTTGGTCCCGCATCGGTTGTGGAGGCATAACACAATTTATAAGGGCGGGAGTGTCTGATGCGGCTTAAAACTACGTCGGTATTTTCTTAAAGAAAAATGGATGATGCAGCACAACGGTTGTAGATATTTTCCTCAGATATGAAACTAAGGTTATCGAACTAGGAGAACCAAGCAACACAACGTAAACAGCACCCGCACATAGATAACAAATCCTCGCAACCCGACGTGTTAAAGGGGGCTGTCAATCCCTTCCGGGTATAACGCCTCAAGATAGGCAAACGGATGTGAGATAAATTGTAGTAGATTGATAGATCAAACGCCAAATAAAATAAATAAGAATAAATTGCAGCAAGGTATTTTTGTATTTTTCGTTTAATAGATCTGAAAATAAAAGTAAAGGAAAATAAATCGCAAAGACAAATAATATGAGAAAGAGACTCGGGGGCGTATGTTTCACTAGTGGCTTCTCTCGAGAAAAATAGCAAACGGTGGGTGAACAAATTACTGTTGGGCAATTGATAGAACTTCAAATAATCATGACGATATACAGACAATGATCATTACATAGGCATCACGTCCAAGATTAGTAGATCGACTCCTGCCTGCATCTACTACTATTACTCGCCTGTATCTACTACTATCACTCCACACATCGACTGCTATCCAGCATGCATCTAGTGTATTAAGTTCATGAAGAAACGAGGTAATGCAATAAGAATGATGACATGATGTAGACAAGATCTATCTATCTATCTAGAGATAGACCCCATTGTTTTATCCTTAGTAGCAACGATACATACGTGTCGGTTCCCCTTCTGTCACTGGGATCAAGCACCGTAAGATCGAACCCACTACAAAGCACCTCTTCCCATTGCAAAATAAATAGATCTAGTTGGCCAAACAAATCGAAAAAGAAATACGAGGCTATAAGAGATCATGCATAAAATAGATCAAAGAAACTCAAATACTTTCATGGATATAAAAAGATAGATCTGATCATAAACCCAAAGTTCATTGATCCCAACAAACACACCACAAAAGAGTTACATCATATGGATCTCCAAGAGACCATCGTATTGAGAATTCAAAGAGAGAGAGAGAGAGAGAGAAAGCCATCTACCTACTAACTACGGACCCAAAGGTCTACAAAGAACTGAAGGAAATATGCCCTAGAGGCAATAATAAAGTTATTATTTATTTCCTTATATCATGATAAATGTTTATTATTCATGCTAGAATTGTATTAACCGGAAACATAATACATGTGTGAATACATAGACAAACAGAGTGTCACTAGTATGCCTCTACTTAACTAGCTCGTTAATCAAAGATGGTTATGTTTCCTAACCATGAACAAAGAGTTGTTATTTGATTAACGAGATCACATCATTAGTTGAATGATCTGATTGACATGACCCATTCCATTAGCTTAGCACCCAATCGTTTAGTATGTTGCTATTGCTTTTCTTCATGACTTATACATGTTCCTATGACTATGAGATTATGCAACTCCCGTTTACCGGAGGAACACTTTGTGTGCTACCAAATGTCACAACGTAAATGGGTGATTATAAAGG